GTCTCTATGCTTAGGTCTTTGGGATGCCATCTCAGTGGGTTTTTGGGGTTATTATGCCATGATATAATTCTGATTTTTGTTAGCTGAGTCATCCCATGCTTCGTCTTAATAGGTGTAGTGTAATCCACCTTATTTGCCTTGTATGCATCATGCCTCATGCTCACCATGCTAGCTTATTTTGGCTTCCTTCCATGCATGTTTTAGTCTCATATTAACATGTACTAGGACTGTTTTGGGTTGCCCTTGCCATATCCTTCATGCTTTGTATAGCTGTAGTGTAATTGGCCTTGCTAGCTTTATGTTTTGATGCTTCATGCATGCTCTATTTAAGCTATTTAGATGATTTTGCATCATTTAATACTTCATTTCAGAGCATGTAACATTGCCATATTCCCACTTCATTCATGCTTTAAGTGTCTTTGAGTGTTGTGCATTATTGACTTATTTGTGGCCTAGCTTGTATGCTTGCATACCTTGACCTTTGAGCCTTTATCTCAGCATGTTTAGGTCTTTGTTTAGACCTATTTAACCTCTATCTATGTTTGGTTCAATCATTTGTGCAATGTATTGCATGCCCTTTGTGTAGTCCCTTTGATGGCTTTGTGCCTTATGTCCTCTTGCATGCCTTACTTGTGTTGTTTGAATGATTTGGTATCATTTCACACTTGATTTCAGAGCCTTTAGTGTTGTCACACTTCCATGTTTATCGCTTCTTTATCATGATTGAGGTTTGTGTTTTGAGGTCTAGTTGTTAAGCCATTGCATTGTGCATACTTATATATGCCTTCATGCCTTAGTTTTGATGCATTTTGGCCACTGATTTGGGCCTATTTGAGAGCTGTCCATTTTGGTTTAAGTCCATCATTTGCATGTTGTTGCATGCTTGCCTTGCATGTTGTCGCATGCTTGTTGCATATTTAGTACCTTGTACGTTGTTTCATGCTTGGTATATCGCATGTTTGTATGTCTAGGTTGCTTTGCGTTATGTATGCTTAGTTGTTGCATGCATTAGCATTGTGCATGCCATTAGCCTTGTATGTTTGCATGCTTAAGTCATATTACATATATGCCATGCTTGTATTGCATTGTTGTTTGGATTAAGTGTCAATCCGAGCATGAGAAACGATGGGCATTTCATACTTCAAGTGATGAAACGTGTCTCAATTCTCGGTCGTCGATGCTCTTGCTCTTGATCACACAAGTCGGATCTTTGGCTATCATACATCAGGATGCGTGATTAATGGTCGTAGATCCGACTATGCCTCTCCCTTGATATTTCGAGGTGATATAGGGTGGCATAGTTCATACATACCCTTGGGAGACCCTCCATTTTCTCTATTTTGTGCTCTGCTGCAGCTTAGTGTCCCAGCACATCAGTGGCTGGCAATGCCTTACAGATGGCCGGCAGTCCCTCATCCTTGGCCGGCAGTGTACCATCTTTGGCCGGCAGGTGGTCGGCAGTGGCTTCCCATGGCTGGCAGGCCACTGATGCACTCCCCAGACTGTTTTTTTGGTATGGTTCAGCACGAATTCCTCAAGGACACCCTGCAGACAAAGCCTCTTGAGAGCAACCGGAGAGTTTTTCGGAATCTCAACCGAGCATGCATCCTTCTTTCTTCAAGGCAGAGCTAAGGCGGCCTAGCAATCTCATTTTAATGCTTTACTTGTTAGTTAGTATTCGGTTTTGTAATTTAATTAATTAATTTGTTAATTAATTAAGTTTTGTAATAATTAGTTGTAGCTAGTTATTCATTCGGTTATGTAATAATTAATTAGCTTGTTAGTTAGTTAATTAGCCGATCTGTATTATTTATTCGGACCCTCCGTCGAGAGGGCCAATTTTGTAATAAGTATGCGTGAGTGTGTGAATGTCTTCCAATCCCACGTCTTTCTCCCTTTTACTTACCTGCTTTTGTTGGTTAGTTTTAGGTCATTCTTCAATTAGCATACTTATGCCCGCATGTTTGCATCCATTCATCTGTCTATCATACTTGTGCCCGTATGTTTGCATTCATTCATCTACATTGCATGCACCGGGCTCGGCGCACCATACTAACTGCCTCGTATTTCAATTCCAAGTTGAATACATGTATCAACTATCTCATCTCATATGCTATCTTAGAATAGCTGAGCCTATTTCTAGTTGCATCTTGCATGCGCTGCATTAGCCATCTTAACAAGAACTAGGATCATGCATTGATTACTAACTAGTTTCTGTTTTGGCTCAGAGTACACTGTAAGTGTTTTTGCTTTAGCATCCCTGCATGTGTGTTATTGATTGCCATGAAAACATGCTTGCCATGAGGCTATTTGCTTATTTTGATATAATTGCCTGAATGCCTGTGGGTGAATGTTGGATTACTTGAATTGGAACGATTCATTAAAATTCGTGTTTTAGCCTACTTACAAGTAGCAAACTTCAAACCATTTCCAAACAAACGGATATGCGATACTTTGTTCCAAATTAGGCGATCTAGTCTATACTTGTGTGTTGTGCGCATCACATAGTAATTCTAGCTAATTAATCGGGATAAGAACACATGTGTTTTCAAAAATAAAATATCATGTTTAGTAGTGGCCGATCTTTGATCGGGCGAGCAGGGGTGCTCATAGATGACCTTCTCTAATCGTACCGAAGTTCTCGAGCTGAGACAACTTTGGTGATGAAGGGCACGTGGCCTTAGGCAACAAGTCAGGGTTTCCTAAATTCTCCCAAAATAAAATATTTAGGTGGCGACTCTGTATCTGGCAAAGCAGTCCATGTTTGGCACTTCTTTACAAAAATCAGTTTTTCAAAACGATTTGCCGGATTAGGACTCTTTTGTGATTTATCAATCTCACATCGCACATTGTGAGATCAGATTAAGAACCGTGACAATTTGAGTCCGAACTGTAGCATGAGGCCCTGGGGACGCGTCTACACATGCTCGAGCGACGAAAGTCACGCTTGAGCAAAGGTCTGAGCCTCACGCTCGAGCGTGGATCGAGCGTCCGTTAAGCGTGAAAAGCAAGCAACCCGTACTTTTTTCGAGTTTACAGTATGCTCAAGCGAGGGAAGTCACGCTCGAGCGAACCCTTACTTTATGCATGTCCACTCGAGCGAGGAAATACACGCTCGAGCGTGGACCCTGTTTTCAGCAAAATTTGAAAAATATTTTCAAGTGCATTGTTGCATCCTCATTCCATCCTAGGCATTCCTAGGCCATATTTAAGACACTATAATGAGGATAAAGGGCTAGAAACACACTTAGGACAAGAACATGCGTTATGTGCAATTCGAGCGTGTTTCAATGTATGTCTCTGTCATGTTATGTAGGTCACGCGTCTCAGGATAAGTGAGTTGCCTACTCTACTTGTTTACTTGGAGCCATCTGTTAACTGTGAGAAATAACTCTGTAAAGCTATGTTTAATTACAAGTATTTTATGCCTGGTATGATACGATCTGTTTTCTGAAATGTTATTTTATGAATTATGAATGACTGTCCATTTTTCTGAAATGTATTTGTAGCATCCTTAGCTCATGTGGCCCTCGCCCTGGGGTAACAATATCGTAGTCAATATGCACGTGACCCTTGCCCAGGGGTAACAATATTGTGGCTTATATTCATGTGGCCTTTGCCTAAGTGTAACAATACTGTGGCCTATATTCACGTGGCCTTCGCCTGGGGATAACAATACCATGGCTACTTGCACGCAAGATATGGACCTTTATAGTCGTCGGTACCGACTATGCATGTGGATCTTAGGACCAAGTTGATATGATAGCTAATGGGTGTACCACGTATGATCTTATGCAAAATCTGAATATGAATATGAGCATGTATCTAAATCCAATTCTAATTTGCAATCTGAATATGCTTAAGACTCTATTTCCGATAAGAATATGTTTTTGATATAAACTCTGAATTCTAATTCTGTGCTGGACATCATTCATTAAAACCCTTTGCCTAGTTATTATTCACTGGGCTCTAACTCACTGTATTATTGTATGTATGTAGGTGAGCAGGCACGTGACCAGGCCTGAGATGCTGCCTGGCGAGTTTTGGTGTCGGCCAGCCATCACGCCTCCCGTGGAGGTTCCCTTTTAAGATCTACCTAAGTTTTTGTGTCCTTGGGACTTTTGTACTTTCTAAATGCTTATGTCTAGTCTGATCACGTTTGAAAGCTTGTATAAGTGGCTTGGGTGATGTAAGACTATTGTATTTTCGACGCTACATCTGTGTGTGTATATATATATGCATATGAAAAGTTTTAAATTTCCTGTCCCATGTATGCCTGCACAGCTCTATGGACTACGTATGTTTGTATATTTGCTTCCACAACCCCTGTTATATATATTATTTTGTTCAGAGGCCTTTGGTAATCCAAGGATTACTGACCGGTTACGATGCTAAACCCATAGGGGCGGGTTTAGGTCGCGACAAAAATGTCTTTAAAAAATAAATAAAATCAGTAGTTCAAAAAAAAATTTCGTTTATTGGTCAAAAATAATTCAGGTATTGGTCAAAAATAATTTGTAAATATTTAAAATCAATTATTCTTAAAGTCATTAACTTTTGAAATAAAATGTAAAAAAATTATTTTATAGTAATTTAAAAATATGTATATTGGATCATACTTAAAATTAACAAAAATTAATTAAATTTTATTTTAAATCTCAATAAATGTAATTTTGAAAAAATATATATATCTATACAATATATATAAAGCACCGATGCAACATGAACAGTAATTTCAGCCAAATATGAACAGTATTTTGTAATAGTTGAAAAGTCAATTTTAACCTTGTACTTTATAACTTTTCTTCTTTGGATGCAAGGGTAGTGATGGAAAAATATCCTCAAATTACTTACAGTTGTTTATAACTCTCTTCTCTGCACTTTGTCCAGAGAACCCTCCCTTCTCTCACCGATCTCACCGATCTCACCTCCTACCTGCTCTCACCGATCTCCTCCCTCCTCTCTCCTCTCACCGATCTCCTCCCTCCTTTCTCCTTTGGCGACCGCCGATGACGTCTCCTCTATCGTGTCGATTTGTTTGATTTTGTGGGTATTCATAGTGTTCAGCAGCGAATCAAACGAAAATTGAGCCCAAGGATGGAAGAATACGACACAAGCTTCTATTAAGGTAAAGACATACATGAAGAATGTTAGGTATTTCGATTTTAGGTTCCTTTTGATCCAGTTAGGGTTTGTAAAGTGTTTTAATTTTCTTTGGTTCTGTTAATTAGTTGGGGTTTTGTTCTTTTTATTATTGTTTCCATGATGTTTACTGTGTGTATGTGTGTATATTTTGTGGCTTCTTGTTTTTCATTAGGGTTTCAATTTTATTGTTGTTTTAATTTTCTTTGGTTCCGTGTTCTTTATCTTTCTCATTAGTTAATTTAATTTAATTTTTTCCATTTTTATTCAAACCCTAGAAGGTAGAAATTGAGAGTTTTTGTTATGTATTGAAATTAAATGTGGGTAATAAAGATCAGTTTTGAAAACTGTGGATTTCCTTAGAATTTTTATAATTGTTGAATTGATTGAGATGTCTTCTGGTTGGGTTCTCTGGAGTTGTGCGCAACTTTTGGGGAGTTTCAAGCTCTGATGGAGTGTTCTCAAAAGAGGAGCATCCTCCCTTCTCCAAGTTTGTGGGATGCCAATGAGCATTTGAAAACTGTTTCGACTATGACATTATTTTCAGTGGATCATAATATCTATCTATATTATTATTTATGTGAAATCTTGAGATGGTATTAACAAAAATATGTCTCAAAAATATCTGATTTATAGTTTCAATATTCACGTTGAATTTTTCTTATAAGAAAATTAGCCTTGGTCCCTACAGCTTGTACAATTTACCATTGCTTGGTATAATGCTTGTACAATTTATCATGTAATGTTTTTTTTATAGAGAAAAAAATTCACTTGGCAAAATGAGAGTTTTTTGATGGAGAAAAAAAAAATCCACTTAAAACGAAAAAGTAGATTTCAGGAGGCCACTATTGAAAATTGATTTATTTATAATAATGACATTACCATATCATTCTTGTCAAGTTTTTTTTTGTATGATGAATTTTATATATGTTTATAATTTTTCTTAATTATATATATTTATAATGTCTTTAAATTATGATATTAATCAAAAAATTGTAACGTAATAATTAAAACTCCTCACCATTGCCATCGTACCTTAATGTCTTTCACTATATATGTGTTTTATCTATTTATATAGTGTTTCGACCCATCAGTGACTGTGTTTGTGTCTAGAGAGAGAGATGAGTATTACTTAAGAATTTACAAATAAAAAATGAAAAATTGTATATATATATAGTGTAGATAATGTGTTATTATGTAATCATTGTAATAAATTATGTGAATATACATATATATATATATATATACATTTGAAATTCACTTGTGGATATTGCAGGAAATAATTTTGTGTGAGCTAATTTCTTTCTTGCTTTTGCATTTTGATTTGATGCAATTCAATTATTTTGGAAAATTTGTGAATTGGCCTAATTACTTAAAAGCATTTTGGTTGGATTTTTTTTTTGTTTGTTTTATTATCAACATTTAATTTTTCTTATCTCTGGCTTAGCTTTTTATTTTTGTGTTTGATCATGACTTATGGGTGTTTGTAATCTGGAAGATTAGGTGTTATGTAATATTAGTTAAGAACTTATTTTATTGATTTTAGTTACTCATGAATATCAATTTTTCAATGGGTGTTTGTGTTTCTTTTTTTCCTACTTTTTAAATCTTACTGCCTAAATCAAACTTCATAAAGTTTCATTTATACCTAAACTACTGTATGTTGCTTGATGCTTAGTTAGAGTATAATGTTCCATTCTCCTTCCCTTTTCTTTTGATTAACAACATTAGCCAAGAATGTATTTAAAGTAGCATCGTCTACCCAGGATACTTTAGTTTGCTTACTAATCTAACACATGATCAAATTAACTGTGTAAATCATTAGCGCCAATTGCTTTTTGGTTGCAAAGCTTACAACGCCCTTTTGACATTACATTCTTTTCATTTTATTTTTTATTTTTTTATTATGGTCTACCTTTGTATTGCTTTTTTATTCCTTTGATTAAATTGAAAAATATATCATCTGTGTCAAAAGTTCAATAAACCTAAACTATTTGTTAAGATCACTTTTAAATGTTGATTTGAATGGTTAAAGGTCCAATCTTTTTTCTTGATTGCTCTTTTTTTTTTGGGGGGGGGGGTTTGGAATGACTTTTGTTTGAGTTTCATTCATAAAAGAGAATTTTACCACATTAGCATGAATCAAGTTTTAATTTGATTGGGGGTCAATGCCTTAGGCCACTATAAAGGGTTAAATAGAAATGTGAGGAAAACTACACATAGCCATTGGAGTCTTCGCCAATGGTTTGCTTCATATTTAGTGGTTTCATATTTCTTTGTGTTGTGAGTTTGCAATAAATTTTATAATTTCCTCTCTTACCTTTAGTAGATTTTGTTACTTGCTTTATATTTTTTTTTTTTCATTTGTGTAGCATTTAATAAACAAATTGTAGGTGTATAATAGCAATCATGTAGACATGGATATGCATTTCTTCTTTCTCTGGTTATGTGTGCACAAATATGGGATTTAAGCGAGTTGTTGTAGGCTAAGATTACACTTTCTCGGTCTCTATTGCAGGGAAATAATGGATTTTGTTACAACAATATAATTTGTCAAATACATAGGATTAACAAGATCAAGGTAAGTACCTTCCAATATTTAGCTATCATAATTTCTAAAACCATAAATTAAAGGTAAATTGTTACTTGATAATTTGCAAACATAATGTTTTAGATAATTGTTATAATGATCTCAAGCATCATATGTTCATTATTTCAACTTAGACAAAACAAAAACTGCATTGAATAAATTATACAAATGCTTGCATTTCGAATGATCAACTCCAAAACATTTGGTGTAATTTCACAATTGCACTTTTGTTTTAATTTTTCTTATCTATCCAATGTACAACCAAACTTTGAGTTAAGAGAACTATGTGGGTTGTTTGGTACAATACATTTTTAATAAAGAAATTGTCTTTGAATGAATAAATGACAATTTTCTAAATGCTTGTCCAGGTCCTACGTTGTTAACACCACCCCAAATTCCTTGCATTTTAAATTTTCTAATGCCATAAAAGTTTTTTATTGTACTTCAAAATTGAGCAAAACCCACATAAAAACAAAAGCGTATTAATCATAAAGACAAAAGTGTAATTGAACCCATTAATCTCCAATCATAGAATGTTATAGAAGGCTTTATTATACTTGACAATTCTTAAAAATGATAAGGGTATTGCAAAATTCATTACGAAACCAAATAGGAATCCACAATCACAATACCCAAATGAACTGAACACAACATGTCAAATTTTTAATTTAACCGCAAAAACAGCTTAGCAAAAACCTTTTTATTGTACTTCAAAATTGAGCAAAACCCACACAGCAATGGAAAATTCATTAGAAAGCCAATAGTGCAATTCAAGTGAGGATTTAATGTAGATCGAACTTTTGATTCACTTGTGAGATCCAGGTAGTTGGGGGGAAGAGGTGTAGGGCTTAAAAGTGGAGAAAAGCTGCAGAAATTCCTAAATCACAAAATTTAGCTATTGATTCTTTCTCCACACAAAATCCAAAAGTTTTACTACATAAGAAATCCATAAAAATTTACAAATAAAATCTACAAGTTTTAGAGAATACACATCACTATTTTGTGCCGCTAAACTCCACCCTCTAGCAATGGAGCTCAACTTAGCTTCATTAAAAGATCAAACCAAAGCATCTTATAGCACATATAATGAACAACTACGAGATCTGTATAAGCAAAATTTAAGAAAAGCATCATGAAATTGAAGATAAATAGAACATAAGGTAAATTACACTAACCTCCTTAACAGTTTGGGAAAAAAATATAATAAACCTTACAGTTCTGATATACATCCTTTTTAGTAAGGTCAAAGAAATTAAACTTAGTGCACATGGTAAGAAAACGCAAAGATAAATAACATACAATACCCACCAAAACAGGAGGTTCATATTGAAGCAACCAAAACTAATTGTTTCAAACATCTTTATCAAACCTAGCAAAATTTTGATTAGTCAACTCTATGTACTTGGAAGGATGAAAAGTACTTAAAAGGTAAAAAGTTTTATTCAATAAAATGTATGTTACTTTTAATAGAGTACCTCAGAGAAACCAAAACTCATTTCCCATGAGCATGACATTCTCTTGATCTAAGTTTTGTGGTGCACAATTGTTCAATCCAGACAAATTGAGAATCAGAGCAGAGACATAATAAATCAAATAAATATTCACTACAAATATCAGAGAAGCACACAGAAGCAGTTGCACACTTTTTCCAATTCGAACTGAGCTTGTTCCTTACAAATACAATAAAACAAAGACTCCTTCAGTCTACATTATCAAACAAAGCTGCTGGTTTAGACAAATTAAGTATAATGAAGAAAAGAGGCATAACATAAACAAACATTAGACTCTCTCTCTGTCTTACGACTTCACAAAGTCAATCAATTGACTTTGAAAAAAGGGGGAAAAATAAATGAAAAAAAGAGGATACACCTTAAAAACCGCATCCATGCCTTTGTCATGTAATATAATATTAGAATAAGTATTTTTTTTTGTTTTTGTTTTTATAGTGGACCATATATATATCATCAGTTTATGTAACATAAAAATGTGGGTGTATAAGAAGTGTGTGCTTGTAGCTTGCTTCTGCACAATATGTAGTGTCCTCACTTCAACAGTTAGAAAAGTCCAAAGGAAATCCTCCTGAGTCACACAATAACAACCAAGTTAGTGATATTTCAAAAAAATAAAGATTGAAGTAAGTCTAAAATATGATGTGTATAATTAATTATCCATTCAATTTATAAATGAAATACCCACAAAAACTTACGTGATCCTAAATTGTCAAAAATCACAAATTCACTTGTGTCTCTGGATTAGTTGATCAATAATCACAAACTCATTTATTTTTTTAGATTAATTAATCAGTAGCACTACAGACAATGTCAACAGTGCCAACATTATTTTGGATTAATTGCATTGTTAACTTTGTTTTGTAGTTAATTGTAGTCCAATAATTAAGTTGTAAACTGGATTACTTTATTGCTTGGTTGCTTCTAGCCATATAGGCCTTGTTTAGTTGTCCATATTGGATTTGGATATAATGAAATATAATATGTTTAGGATATGAGATGAATTATGTATATTGTAAAATTATTTTTATTATATCCAAATTCTTTAGATCGGTGGTTTACTGGTTTTGATAAAAACTTGAATGAATGTGCTTAGAACATAGGAATGAATGTGTATTTCAAAGTGTATAACCAAACATAGGAATGAATTGTTTATCTTTTCTTTTATTCTTTCTTCTTTTTTCTTTTTTCTTTCGCATTGTGAAAGAAATATTCTTTGATAAACTTGTTGCCTTTGAACTGTATTCATATTCATTAAAATGTGTTGGTTGAAAACACATAATGTTAAAAACTAATGTGAATGTTGTCTATTTAAATTTGTTATATTTTTAACTGTTTTTGTCAAAATATTCATATTTGCCCCTTTTGTTTATTTTTTTATCTTGCTTCCAGCAATCATATATTAAATATGAAAGGTCGTTCATGGCCTCTTACTGGAGGCAATAGAAAGCAAAAGGTTGCATTTTCTCCATCAACTAATCAATCAACAACTCGTGTTGCCCTTAATCCCGATTGTTCTGAGATTTCCAAGCCATCCATATCAAGTGAACCTATCAATGAATTTGTTCAGTTAAAACAAGAAATCGAGGAATTCTTTCGACGGTTTAAGAGGGAGGAGATCTATTATAACAAGGCATCAACTGGAACTCTGCCGGCTCTACTCACCGAATACCCAAAGCTAGAGCTACTTATTGAATATGAAAAAAAGATCTCAGAAGATATTGCTAAAAAAAAAACTAATGTGAATGTTGTCTATTTAAATTTGTTATATTTTTAACTGTTTTTTCAAAATATTCATATTTGCCCCTTTTGTTTATTTTTTTATCTTGCTTCCAGCAATCATATATTAAATATGAAAGGTCATTCATGGCCTCTTACTGGAGGCAATAGCAAGCAAAAGGTTGCATTTTCTCCATCAACTAATCAATCAACAACTCGTGTTGCCCTTAATCCCGATTGTTCTAAGATTTCCAAGCCATCCATATCAAGTGAACCTATCAATGAATTTGTTCAGTTAAAACAAGAAATCGAGGAATTCTTTCGACGATTTAAGAGGGAGGAGATCTATTATAACAAGGCATCAACTGGAACTCTGCCAGCTCTACTCACCGAATACCCAAAGCTAGAGCTACTTATTGAATATGAAAAAAAGATCTCAGAAGATATTGCTAAAAAAAAGAAGAATTTATAAAGAGATATGATGGTTCTGAATTTGAGTTGCGTTATGATGAAAGTAGTGCGTCATCTTAGTTTTGTCTTAGATTTCTGTATTATGTAGTTCTTTATATATAGATATATATTTCATGTTGTTCAGTGTGCTTGTTATAAAGATCCAAACATAATTTTCAAATATTTTAAGCAGTTATAGTTGTTGGCTTTTGTATTTATGCACATGTAAAAAGTTGTACTACTTTTTTGTATGCATTCTTTATTTTTCTTCTACTATCTGTATTTATGTTTTTTTCTTCTTCTAATATTCTCCTACTTCAATTGCATTTAAACTTTCTCAAGTACAGTGTTACGTTTTATTAAGGTGCTCATACCCTGTGCTAAGTTTAGTGCATATAAATTTTCCTTCTAGATTTAATGTGCTTAATTTGTTTTTTCTTAGATTAACATATTATTAAAATTCCTATTGATTTGCATGCGATATTGTCTCATTTTGGCTATGCTATTTTTTTTCCGAAGGTTTGAGCAGTAGTTATTGCTATATCATCGTTAATTTGCACCAAATATATAATATTTATAAAATGAGAGTATACATTAAATTAAACCTTGCTATTTGACTGTTTTAGTTTAAAAAATATAAAATATCCAACAGCAAATAAATAAGATAAATTTTAATCAAATATATACCCCCAAAAAAACAATTAATTAAATTTATGCATTAAATTAAATGTTAATACTTATATTAACAAAATGCACAACCAAATTATTATTTTTAATTGTTGTTTATATATACATTACAATTTGTATAAACCACAATATTTATCTTTATATATTGAATAAAAATATAGTATTTATCATGTTGCATTGTCCATTTGGTGTTCAATCAATAAATGGACATTAATTATTAATTTTTTTACTGTCAAATCCTTTCGATGGTAGCCAAAGGTGAAATCCAGCAATTTGACTGCTGGGTTTTCCATTAAATGTGTCAAATCAATTTATGAATTGATCATCTCCATTTAAAATGTTTGACTCTCTCAAATTATTATTTGATTTTTTTTACCATTATATTTTTAGACAAATTTCATACTTATCCAGACCTTTCACTATTTTACCCCTTTATTTATTTTCATAGAAGGACAATCTTCATAATTTTGTGATACAAGTGAAATATACTCCTCTTATTACTAATTTTTGCATTAAAATAAATGTCAAATCAATTCACAAATTAATCATCTTCGCTTACGGAATTTTATTTCCACACCATACAAATTTTGAATAAACATCATAAATGGTATTTAAATATAAATTTCTGAATAAAATTAGATGTTCAAATTTTAAGTTATAAACAATAATAAATTATTCAAATATACATTTTATTTAATTGTTTACATGTCAACAACTTTTTTTTGGCATCAATTTTTTTATATTTAAATATTTGATTTTTCTTTATAAATTTATATTTAAATCACATTTATAATATATACTAAAAGTTTGAGTGATGTCAAAATAAAATTAATCTCTAATTGCCTCACTTTTTTATCATTATACTTTCACAAAAATATATTTTTTTTTATGTTGATTTTTGCATTAAATATATGTCCAATCAATTTCTGGATTAAAGATCTTTATCTCTAGGGTTGATATCAATAATTGTTATTTTACATTTTTGCCCTTTTACTTTTAAAGAAATCCCTTAGCTAAATAAAACTAAAAATAAAAAATTCACCAATTTACATCTATGCCATACATCTGTCATGATCATTACCATACACAGTCCTATTTGTCTTATTATATTCATATTTAAGAAGGAAATACAATCAGAACTTGTTTACGGTTGCTCTAATCACTTCTGCTGCAAATGGAGTTTGTCGTTAGTACTTACAAAGCAAATTCGAAGGAGCTCTTCTTTTGCAATATTCAGCATTGAATTGTAAGTTCTCATTTATATTTATTACTCTTTAATTTTTAACTGTTTACAGCATCTTCAATTCTTCACCAAACCCCAAAATTTGATGAATTTTTTTGTGAAAATGAGGTCAAATCCTTTAATCAAACTTGTATAAAATCAACAGAGAAATAAAATTTTCACCAAATCAAGGAAACTATACCAGCATATACTTTTTTATTCAATGATTTATTCATTTATTGTAGCATTTAATCCTAATTTTCAAAGTAAAACTATTTTTTTAAAATTACTTCATATAAAATAAAAACACATATTAAACTTCTGTAAATTTCTCTTACAAATCCTTAAAATAAAATGTTACTTTTTTTTTTCCATAACTGTTGTTTGCTAAAATATGATTTTTGCTTTTCTTTAAAATTGAAAATTTCATTTTTACAGTATTATTAATAATTATAAAGGACAATTAAAAAAAATATCCACTATTTGAGCATTATAACAAAAAATAAATTTCTTTAATTTAAAATATCAATCTTTTGATTTCTGTCCAATCCAAACCATTTGGCTATTTTCAATTTCTAAACTACCTTTCTTTTTCTATCTGTAGTAGTCACAATTCCACACTCTTCTACCAAGTTAACTGAGCTTTGCCAGGTTCTCTTTGCTTTAACTGTTTAGCTACAATTAAAAATTTGTTCCTTTCATAATTTTTTTGCATGTTATATTCCAAATAATTAGGTGTCGTTTGGTAACACTTACGTTTTCAGTTTTCTGTTTATATTTACAAAAATTTTAAAAACTCAAATAAAAACTTATTTGGTATATTGTTAAACATAAGACATAGCTCAATACAATCCATTCATTCTACTAATACAAAAATAAACTTCTTTTATGTAGTTTTAGTATGTAGTTGTGCAACGCAAAAATGCGAAAACGAAGATTATGTGCCGATCAGGAAGATGCCCATCAATCTTTGGTTAAAAGTACAAAACAATTTACTTTAAAACTTTTAACTTCTGTTCAAACATTTGTTTTACACATATTTACCCATAACTTATATAAAAGAGAAGAACATTAAAATACTAACTTTTTACATATATACTTTATTCCTCTGCTTACAGAAAAACAAAGACTTGAAAAAAATAGAAGACTGCGAGAGGCATATGCCAAAAAGAAACAATATCTACTTTCGCAAGCTGAAAACTCTGTTGGTATTAATTTTTCCTTTAAATCAACATTAGATTTAAATCAAGATTAGTTATCTTACTACTAATCTTAGTTTAAAAATATCATCTCTTGTAAATCTAACATATTTGCTATATGAATTATTGGTACATTCCATAGACTTCCGTCAAGATAAAAAAAGGAAACGCACATCGTCAACAAAAAATAGAGATTTATTGATTCAAGGAAGCAGCTCAAATCAGCAACAATTGCATATAGGTAACTGATAACAAAAAATATTGAACGTGATTACATAATAACATAGTAATTTTAAAATCATATGATAAACATTTCATTTAGTTTCTTTCTTTTTCTTCTTATTTTTATTAGGAAATCATGTTTCAACTATTCAAACTGGCTTTGTTACATGTCATGACAACAGAGGGAAATCCCACATAAGTTATTTCGGTATTTATGAAAAAGGTTTGAATCTTATTCTTTTTATATAAATCATCTAATAGAATTATAGCAACAAATCTAACATTAACACATTAATTTTCATAGGTTCCACTTCCGGAACAAATCATCGCTCAAAACCTGATGCAGGTTGATTCTAAATTTAAATTCTTTACAAATTAATTTCTTTGCTTAACTTTCTAAATAACAAAATTATATCTTCCACTTCATAGAAAATTGTAGTTCGCGAATATGGAAGGCTTCTAACAAAAAAACAGACGGCATTCCAACTCAACCTGCTATCTTACCACTACAAGGACCTTGCAACTTTTGTGGTGCGAAAAAGTTTTACCTTGAGCCTAATAGCTTTTGTTGTATGGGTGGACAAGTCTCTTTGGTTTCCAGTAACTGTCCTCCAGAACTTGACTGGTTATATACTTCTAACTCTGAGGAAGCAAAAGAATTTCGTACGTATGTTCGAACATATAACAATTGCTTTGCTTTCACATCTTTTGGAGTCAAATATGACAAGGAATTGTGTCGGAGAAATAAAGGAATCTATACATTCAGGATACAAGGTCAAGTTTATCACTTCATTAATGAGCTTACATCTTCTGATGAAAATCTTAGTCATCTACAGCTCTACTTTTATGACACTGATCATGAAATCCAAAACAGAATGAAATCTTCCGAAAAGCTAAATCCTGTTATTCTTGAAAGGCTCATAAAGATTTCACATCTAAATCCATATTCAATCTTCTTCAGGAGATTAGAACACATAGATCCTTTGAACTCTGTACAAATTATTATTAGATCTGATGTATCATTAGATCAGAGAGTCTACAATCAACCTTCAACCTCACAAGTGGCAGCAATTTGGTCTGAAAATGATGTCTTAACCAAAGAAATCTCAAGAGATATTGTTGTTCATCAAATTTCTGATCATAGTGAAAAAGTTCAATGGTATTTTGGATGTTATGACCCATTACAATATCCATTGTTATTTCCATATGGTGAATCTGGATGGCATTATGGTATTGAGAGAGTTGACAAAAACCAAACAAAAATCACATGCCATCAACAAACTATTCTTAGTGTTCATCAAGCTACTACTGTTTCAGACCTTCTCATAAAAGAAGCCCAAGGTAAATAAATCCTCTCCTTATCAATTAAATAGTATTAAAAATTATTTACTCCTAACTAAAAAAAAAATTATTTCAGTGTTTCAGAAACAAAAGAATAAGAAAACTACCATTTCTTGTCGTGAATACTACTGCTACAAGCTTCAAATACGACCCAATGATTCTTCAATCTTACTCCGCTCTGGTCGTCTCTTTCAGCAGTATTGTGTTGATATGTATGTCAAGATTGAAACATCTAGACTTCAATTCTTTCGAAACAAACAAAGAGAAATTAGGGCTGATTTGTATCAAGGAATCATAGACAGTGTCACAACGGGTGAAGGTAGAGGTTCAAAGATTGGTCACAGGGTTATACTACCACCGTCATTCATAGGTAGTCCAAGAGATCTTAGACGTCGATATGTTGATGCAATGTCTTTGGTCCAGCGATTTGGCAAACCTGATATCTTTCTTACAATGACTTGTAATCCAGCATGGCCAGAGATTAAAGCTGAGTTAGGACCTAATGAAGAAGCTCAAAATAGACCAGATTTAACCTCTCACGTTTTTAGAGCAAAAATGGAACAACTGAAGGATGACATCATAAAACATCAAATCTTTGGGAAAGTCATTGCATATGTTTACGTCATTGAATTTCAAAAGAGAGGTCTTCCACATATGCATCTATTGTTAATTCTAGCACCTGGACAAAAGCCTTTATCTCCTGATACTTATGATTCAATCGTATCTGCTGAACTTCCTGATCAAAAAAAACATCCTCATTTGTTTTCTATGGTGGTGAAACACATAATGCATGGACCTTGTGGTGAAATGAATCCAAACAACATTTGCAAGAAGAATGGAAAATGCAAAAATCATTATCCCAAAAATTTTGAACCTATAACAAGATCTTCCAAAGACTCATACCCAATATACAAGCGTCGTGCTGATGGTAATCAAGTGAAAATCAGAGGGCAAATTTTGGATAACCGTTAGGTAGTTCCGTACAATCCATATCTTCTTGCCAAATATGATTGCCACATTAATGTGGAAATTTGTTCAACAATCAAAGCTGTCAAATATTTGTACAAGTATATTTACAAAGGCCATGATAAAATTGCATTCCATATTGTTCAAGAAAATCAATCAGAAATCATAGATGAAATCCAACAATTTCAGTCCGCAAGATGGATTTCACCTCCAGAGGCAATGTGGAGAATTTATGCATTCTCTTTGAATGACATATACCCATCAGTAATCCATCTTCAAATCCACCTTGAACACCAACAATTTGTTACTTTCAATCCTTCAGATGACCTAAATTCTGTGTTAAATGATCCCATCCGTTCGAAAACAATGTTGACTGAATTCTTTTTAATGAACAAGTCAAATGAGAAGGCGAAGCTTGGAAAATATTTATATAAGGAATTCCCTGAACATTTTGTTTGGTGGCAACAAGATAGAATGTGGACTGAGCGAAAAAAGGGCAATGTTATTGGGCGCATTGTCACAGCACATCCTACACAAGGTGAAAGATATTACCTTAGGTTACTTCTAAACAACATCAGAGGCCCTACATCATTTGAATCCTTGAGAACCATAAATGGAAGAAAAGCAAAAACTTTTCGAGAAGCTGCCCTTCTCTATGGTCTTTTACAATCAGACAACAATTTTGAACAATGCTTGGAGGAAGCAATCTCTTACCAAATGCCTTACTCTCTAAGAAGATTGTTTGCAACCATTCTCATTCATTGTGCTCCTAATAATCCAAAGCAGTTGTGGGAAAAATTCAAAGACTACATGGCAGAGGATTATGCCAAAACAACAAATCTTTCAAAACAAGAAATTTTCAAAAAAGTTCTACAGAGCATCAATTCAACTCTTCAATCAATGGGCAAAAATATCAAAGATTTCAATATTTGCTCTGACAACATGCTCTCATCTGATAATCAAGAGACTTGTCGTGAAATTGAAGAAGAAATGAATATTGTTGTTTCTGAAGCTGATTACCAGTCTATCTCTCTATTATCCTCGGAACAAAAAAGTAGCATTTGACAAAATCTTAAATAGGGTCTTCTCAGGAAATCAAGGGTGTTTTTTCATAGATGGTCCTGGAGGCACTGGTAAGACCTTTTTATACAAGGCATTGTTGGCAGCAATTAGATCCAAGAATTACATTGCTCTTGCAACAGCAACATCTGGAGTAGCAGCTTCTATTCTCCCAGAAGACCGCACAGCCCATTCTCGTTTCAAAATACCTATAGATGTTGATACATATAAATCTTGCAACATAGGTAAACAAACTGGGCTTGCAAATCTTTTGAGAACTGCAAAACTAATCATTTGGGATGAGGCACCTATGGCCAAGAGGCAAAACATTGAGGCATTAAATGATATGCTGAAGGATATCAATGAGTCAGAGTTACTCTTTGGAGGCAAAGTTATAGTTTTGGGTGGTGATTTTTGACAAATACCACCAGTCCTTCCCAAAGGAACAAAATATGATTCAATTGATGCTAGCTTGGTCAATTCAGAATTATGGAAATCTGTTGAGAAAATAAAGTTGACTGAAAATATGCGAGCAAAGCATGATCCTTGTTTCAGTAATTACTTATTGCGCATTGGCAATGGATCTGAATCGGTCAATGATCAAAACAAAATCAAAATACCAGCATCTATGATAATTTCTAACAATTTTTCAAATGCTAAAAATCCTATCAAAGACTTGATTCAAACTGTCTTTCCAAATCTCAAGAACTACTCAGAAGATCCAATTTCAATGATTAATTCTGTTGTGCTCACTCCAAAAAATGATTGTGTACAAGAAATAAATGCTTTGTTGATCAAACAATTCCCAACAAAAGGTAGATTATATACAAGCATCGACAAGACAATTGATCCAAATGATCAAGGACAATATGAAGACTTCTTGAATTCTCTTGAACCAAATGGTCTCCCACCTCATCATTTAGAATTGAAAATCAATAGTCCGATCATGACTTTAAGAAACATAGATCCTTCAATAGGCTTGTGCAATGGAACGCGACTTATTTGTCGAGATCTCAAAGATTTCATCATTTGTGCTGAAATTGCTGTTGGGGATCGGAAAGGACAAATGGTTTTCATACCACGAATACCATTGCAACCCTCAGATCATCAAAAATACCCAGTTCAGTTTACTAGAACACAATTCCCAGTAAAGTTATGTTTTGCCATGACAATAAATAAAGCGCAAGGCCAAACATTACAAAAAGTAGGTCTTTACCTACGAGAGCCAGTATTCTCCCATGGACAACTTTATGTTGCTCTATCACGAGCTACAACTGCTGCAGATGTTAAAGTTCTCATTCCACCAACAAATCAACATGCTTTGGATAACAATACCACAAAAAATGTTGTTTATGAAGAACTACTAACACTTGCAGGCTATATATAATTCATTTTTTTGTTGTAAATTTTTGGTAAATTTCCTCTTATGTAGTGTAATTTTAATTTTATTTGTATTTATTATAATTATCTATTATCGTTGTATTAAGTTCTTGTTAAATTGTTTCTTACAACAAATTTTGCAGGATGAATGAAGAAATAACACCTATCAAGAAAATAACTAGCACAACTAAACAATGGACAGCAAAGATTCGTGTTTTGGAAAAGTGGAATCCACGAATCCCAAAAACAGGCTCAACAAGATATCAAAGGCTCATTTTGGCTGATGCAGAGGTTACACTTTCAAATTCTTGTTTTATAATACATACCATATTTACCATATTCATTTTTTAGGTTCTTAACAATAACATTTTTCATTGAATTCATAATTACATAATTCATTGCCTCATTAACTTCTGTTGTACATACCACTTGTATAGGGTACACAAGTTCAAGCTATACTTTATCAAGATCAAATAGAACAATTCCAAGATACCTTCAAAGTTTTTAACTCATACTATGTCTCAAATGCTGCTGTCAAGTTGCTACAAGAAAAATACCGTATCACACCACAATCATGGCAATGGCAATGGACAATCACTGCTAGCACACTTATTCGAGATGTTGAAAACAGTAATGAAGATAACAATGCCCCAACATATCACTTTGTACCATTCAATGAATTCTCTGACCATCTTGGCAATGAAACATCATCCATAGGTAATTTTCTTAGATCAACATAAATAATTATCAAGTTACTTTTTCATTAGATACTCTTATTGTTTTTGTATCTATAACAGATATTCTTGCAGCAGTTATTCAAATTAAGCCACCAAAAACAATCACAACAGAAAATGGAACCACAACTGCACAAGAAATTGTACTCATTAATGAAGAGTAAGTATTTTGTATACCTGCGTTTAGTATAACTTGATTTCAATACTAACAAATTCTCTTAATTGTAGCAGGTTAATGCCAATAGTTTTAACTTTGTGGGGTCAATTTGTCACTAATGAAGGAGAGAGATTGCAAGCCATTGCTCAATCATTTCCAACTCTAATTGCAATCAGGCTTAAAGTCTCATCGTTTCGCGGTAATTATAATCTTACCACATTATACTAAATATTAAAAATATATAAAACATATTTTTTTTAATTTATTTTTTACAGGACAATCATTATCAACAAAACCAACATCAGCTTTTGTGCTCAACCCCAACTTCAAAGCTGCACACCAACTTCACAATTGGTACCATCTAATTCAAATACTTTAACTCAAATAATAATTTCTCACAAACACTAATATCAAAATAAATTGATGCAGGTGCATCCAAAATGAAGAAGTCATTAGAACTTTACCTTCTCCACTTGAAACTCATGTTCGAAACATCACAACTCCAAGTCCTAAAGTAGATAAAATCATTTCCATCAGCAGCATTCCATCTTCTCCAGATGCGGTAAGCTTCATACATATTCTTCTACTCTTTAAGCATCTTAAATATATCATTAGTAACCATTGCTAATCACCTGTTACTAGAAAATGTACTGGGTCAAAGCAACTATGTCCATCACCTCACTTGATCAATCTTTTTGGTACATGAGCTGCAACAATTGTTACAAATCCATAAATGCAAAATATCAAACTGTTTTCAACTGTTTCCACTGTAAAAAAAAAGAGGTCATTGCAGAACCGAGGTAACAACAAACTAACCCTACACCTTTTAATATAACTAATGTTTTATATTTAATAAAACTAACATATAACTTACTACAAACAAACAGAGTCAAATTCCAAGTTGAACTCAAAGATAATTCAGGTTCAATAATGGCAACAATATTCCAGGATCATGCAGAAAAGTTCTTTTCAATTTCATCTACTGACCTAATGAAGCATACAACACAGGTCAAATAAATTAACATGCTTCATCTTCAAATTCACTATTTTTCTTCCCAATTTTTTAAATATTCTACATATATTATGCAGGATGGAAAAGTTTCAAATGAGGCCCTTCCAAAATTAAATGTGCCAGAATATCACATTATTCAACTAAAGCCTCGCCAATATCAGTTTCGTGGACAAGTAATGCTTCAACATGTCATCACATCAGTGAACAATGATGATGCAGAACCCTCCATCATAACTCTTGCTTCAAAACCACATCAACAATCTATCCAAATAGAACCCAAGGCAAAGAAAGAACTATTTCCATCAACTGTTGGTACAAATGTTGCTTCTGATATTTCAACTGCTGCTGCTGGTACAAATTCTGCTTCTGATATATCTGCCGCAACAAGTGTACCCTCTACAAAATCTCTCTAGAAAAAACACTCTAGACTATAATATTTTTGTAATAGGTTACTACAATGTGACATATTTTTGGTTTGATTTGGTATGGCTCAAGTGGTTTGGTTTGTAACATATTTTTGTTGTTGCCTGTTTGCAACTACAATGTGCTAAACACAACTCAATATTACTTTTGGTTTGGTTTGGTTCTTACTGCTCATGAAAGTAAATTATCCAATATTACTTATAATGGGTACTAACCCACTTACTACTACAACTCTTATTCTCTTCCTGCATGAATAGTTTGAACTTAATTTTTATAGTACTATTTTGAAAATCAAAAAAATATGATGTGTGTTGATTCTTATGATGTGTGGAGATGATAATACGATGTGTGTGATGTAGACCTCAATGCATGCTAAGTCCTTGTCTTCCTCCCATATCTACAGATTTATACAAATAAGTAACATGAATGCAAGATTCCCCTCATTTGTTATCACATTTAATAGTCCATAATGTTTTTTATTTAATTCCATTTCATTTTTTCCATCTGTGGTTCATCCATTCATCCAAAATACCAAATTTATTAACAAAATTATATTATTATCTCCTTTTATTAATGGGCATTTTAATGGGCATCAGTTAGCGTGCTTTGCACGCAACCCCCTCACTAGTATATATATATGTGTGTGTGTGTGTGTTGTGTAAAATCCAACACGACTCAAACAAAGCCCTAGGGCTACCCTTCTAATTTATTTATTTAATAAAAAATGCAAATTGTATCCAAATTATGATGTTGCCCACACACCATAATCCATGAACTATAAGACAAGACTAATATAAAGAGAGAGGGAGAACCATAAAATGCTGCAACATTACCACATCCAACTGCAAGAACAAGAAAAACCCATACCCTAACCAAACCCAGTAGTGTGTTTCCCTGTAAATGGCAAATCTCTTTCGTCCTCTTTGAAAACATACATGCCCGAACCAACACCAGAGCCAGAGCAGGAGGGAGAAGAAGCATAGAGAGAGAGAGAGAGAGCGAGTCTCCTCCTTCTGGGTCCCGCCGCTGTTGGCTAACCAATTCGAACATCAAGATGGCATTGATAATGAGATCCGAAATGATTGTGTTCGAACGTCCGCCAACGGAGAGACCCGATCCGAAATGAGATTCGAAATAATAATGAGATCTTCCCGTTTCTGTTTGTTTCCAGGGAAAAAAAATGTCATTGATGTTTGGAAGAATGGAACAAATGAGGCAAAGAGAATCCCAAGACAAATTTAGTTCTCTTCTCTGTGATGCTTAATGTTAAATTTTTTATTTTGTGTTTATATATATGCAGGGAAGGTAAATGTAATTTATGCTGAAGGGTAGTATTGGAATTTGTAGAATAATTATGGATGACATCAACAAAATTTATTTGATTTTGGACGGATGGGTAAAAAAATGTCTTTGTATATTAGTTTCAAAAATAGGGAGATCAGTATTATTTTTGAAACTACAAGAGAGTTACCTGTAATTAAGGTAAATCTCTGGAGAGGTCAGTGAAATTTACCCAATTATTAATAAAAACAATAAACATTAAATTTTAAAATAAAATATTTTTTTTTTTCTCATAATGCACTCAAATCACTTATATGTTTTCTTTATATTCAATTTTTTTTTTCTTTTCCAAATTTCAATTATTTTATCTTCATCTTTATCATTACTCCAAAACTCTAATTCACTTCACCAAACTCATAATACTGCCTTGCCACAAGATGTGCAATCTTATTTTGGCCTATTTTGGCAAGTTGGTAAATCTCTGGGGAGGTCAGTGTCATTTACCCAATTATTAATAAAAACAGTACACATTAAATTTTAAAATAAAATATTTTTTTCTCATAATACACTCAAATCACTTATACGTTTTCTTTATATTCAATTTTTTTTATTTTCTTTTTCAAATTCCAATTATTTTATCTTTATCTTTACCATTACTCCAAAACTTCAATTCACTCCACCAAAACTCATAACACTGCCTTATTATGTCCTATTTTGGCAAGTTGGTTAAAAGCAACTTCTTAATTTTTTTAATTTTTTCAAGTCACATAACTTCTTTACTTTTTTTTATATATATTTTTTTAAAAAAATTAAAATAAAAAAACTAAAAAACTAATTTTTAACGATTTTTCCAAATTGTAATGACCAAACAGTTGCTTCAGTTCCAAAATGTCTGAAGCGAGCAGCGCTATCCGACGATAAATCATCCGCTCACCAGTAAGCATTGCAATCCAACTTTAATAATATTTATTTGACATTATTATATATTAGTATTATCATATTGAAAGAGAATGAGGAGATAGAAATGAAAAGAGACGTGTGTTTTGTCATCCTTCTTCGTGGTTCTCCTTTGTCGATACTATCGTTCTCTCTGTTTGTGAATAAAAGAAATAATTGCAATGAGAAATTTGTTTAAAATTTTTTTAAAAACTGTAATTTGATATTTTTGATTTGTTTATTACTTACTTGTACTTTGAAAAGTAATTTGAAAAAAAAAATAAATAAATAAAATAAGATATATTGAAAGTAATCTATAATTCTAAATAACTTATTAGAGTGCATTAAAAAATTAATCGTACTTAATAAAAATAATATATATATATATATATATATTTTGGTAATGTAAATAGAATCCCGGTGAGACTATGTTGATTGGTGGACTAGGGTCCCAAACTATTCTCATCTATGGGATAAGCTCCCTTTATACCTCATTTGTTCATACCTTTCCATGCTTTTTTTTTTTTTTTTTTTTTTTTTTTTTTTTTGTAGGTTTCAATTTGAACCCCGTCTATTTCATAGGGTTCACAACAAAAGTTATCTATACAAAAAATCAATTTCATCAAAAAATTATAAATATAAAAATAAAGAGAAAATTGTTGAAAAGTCCAATATAACATTTGTTTAAGGCATTAGGTCCAGGAGATACTTTTTGTTAGTGAGAAATCTAACTTTGTGAAATAATTTGATTAGAAATCCTTTTGTTGTTTTAAAGGACATTTGATTTCTAATTTTGCCCCTTAACTTATTCAAATATTTTTTATCTGTTAAATTTTTTTAAATCTATATGTTCAAATATTTTTATCTGTTGAATTTTTTAAACTTATTTTTCCTTATCTGTTGAATTTTTTTAACCTATATGTTGAAATATTTTTTTATTTGTTAATTTTTTTCAATCTATTTTCTTATCTATTCAACAAAACAATCATAATCTTCAATTTTTTTTATCTGTTGAAATAAGGTCTGGTCTGTTACAAATTTTTATCTGTACAAATTAATTTCAAAACCCACTTTTCTCTCTCTATTTGTTTGTCTCTCTTTTTATCTGTTGGTATCTCTCTCTCTCTCTATCTCTTTTACTTATTGTCACGGGTTGCATTTCCAATCAACTTCAACACCTAGAAACAAATAAAACAAAATATTTTAGAGAGAGAGTGTGTTTTTCAATTCAACTGCTAAAAAAGTGGAGGAAAATGGGAAACCAAGAAAATTTCTCAATAACTATTGTTGAAACTTCTCAATAACCAGTAGAAAATAGAGGAAATACAAGAACATCATAGGCTATGTTTGGTACAGCTCTAGAACTAACATTCTAGAGCTTAATTTGAACACAGCGTTTCTTTACGAATTTCAAAACTTAATTCTAAGTTCACTTTTGAAAACGCTGTCGAAAGCGAAAAAATTTGGACTAACCAGATGTCCCATCGGTCGTCCGACTAGTTGACCTGAACAGTACAATTTTTTTTTAATTTTTTTAATTTTTATTTTTTTGCAATTGACATATGTTAATTTTTATATATTCGAAAAAAATATTTTCTGAATTTTTAAATTTTTTTTATGTGTTTTAATATAATTTTGAGTTGTATGTTTGGTTATGAGTTATAAGTTTTTGTATCAAATATCATATGTCACATCAAAAATTTCTCACTCTTTTCAAAACTCTTTCACCAAACAAATTTTCCACACTCAAATCATAATTCCAAAACTCACAAACTCAAAATATAACTCCTACTCTCAAATTATAGTTAGAAAGCTCTACCAAACGCAACCTATGTTTTTTTTTTCAAATTAATCAAACATAACTAGCACAAGCAAGTATTCAAAAGAGTAAATCGATAATCCCCCAAAATTCAACACAAATTACCAATAACAAAAAACCAAATGCCTCAAACAAAACTCTAAGTCTTAATAAAAAACAAAATAGATAAATCTAACCAAATCAAAACACAGATCTAAACCAAATAGTTATATATGATCATGTATATATATGTATACACACAAATAGATAGAAGAGGAGAAGAGAAGATAGATAGAAGAGAGAAAAGAGAAGAGAGAAGAGAGAGACGGATTAGAGATGTGTGAGGTGAAGAAAGGGGAGGCGATGATGGTGTAAAACTCACTAGGGTTAGGGTTCTCACGACGAACTTCCAAGCGCCTCAGTCCATGCTGGGGGCAAAGGTGCCAAAGGTACGATAGGGACATTGAAGGTAGAGAAGATATGGCGAGTCTAGCCGACTTGAGAAAGAGAGAGAGAGATTGATTTTGAGTAGAGAGAGAGTGTCTAAGTCAGAAATAAAACACATATAGTGGTAAAGGATATTTTTATCATTTTATGATAACTTTGTCGTCCTTATGGACATAACAAATGAACGCCTTTGAACAAGGAAAATTAAAAAATTGAATTTTTCACTCAGGCACCCAAAAATAAATTGTATTTTATTTTATAAAATAGATAGTAAATATAATTAAATTTAAACTATTTATTTCATACAACAAAATACAATTTGTTTCCATGTTTATGATTGTCGAATTCTAATTTTTTGCATAAAATTTAGTCTACAAAATACACAATTCAAATTATTATTACAAATCCAAATTAAAATCATAAAAATGGTATGATAAGATATGCTCATCCACCGTTGATCTTTCAGAATTCAGAGTTAAAAAAAAAAAAAAAAAAAAAAAAAAAAAAAAAAAAAAAAAAAAAAAGGGGGGGGAATTGTTATCAACGTTTCAGTAACATCCCCTTTTCCGCCATCCTCCTCTCCAACCCCAACCTACCCAACAGATCTCCCCATCTCTCTCTCTCTCTCTCTCTCTCTCTCTCTCTCTGTGAAAATGGCAGAAGATAGAGAATCCACGTCTACTGCAGGGGGTGGTCAAGATGACCCTGTCAACGATCCCGAAGATCCTGCTAAGTCCCCTCCTAATTCCCCCAATTCTTCCACTCGCAAGGTCAATTAAACCTACTCTCTCTCTCTCTCTATATATATATATATATATACACACACACACTCAAACGAAAGCCCCGACTTTCGTGGATCTGTTTTGTTTTCAATACTCTGATTATCAAGAACTTGTCTTCTTTCAATTCGGTTAAGAATTATGCATATTTTTGCAATTTTTTTCATGTCGGAGTTTGTTACTTTGCATTTTACTCTTTTACGATGTTGGTGTTCACTCTAATTACGTTAATTGCTAACGTGGCATGGCTTAACGAGTTCATTCATATTGTTGAATCGATTAAATTTTCAATTAAATTATTGAATTTTGGGAGTTACGACAAATTCTAGAGTTATTAGGTTTATCAATTTGATATTTTTTGAATTCATTATGTTGCATGAAAGCTCAGTGGGACTGTAGAGTCGGTTGAAAGGGTTTAGGAAATTGCTGATTTATTGTATTTACTATTATTACATGGTCATTTTAAAGGGAAACCCTTTGTGAACCGTATGCACATTGTTTTTCATTTTTGTCGTACATGTTACGTATTTTTCTGGTGGAATTATGATAATTTGTGGTTCAAAAATGAAGTTATGCACTTTGGAGTAATGTTATGCATTTTTTTTTCTAAAATTTTTTGACCACAAAATAGGTAACATTATCCAAAAATATGTAACACTACCACAATGATGCGTAACTTCATTTCTAACTTGCAAATTGTCGTAACAGTTGTCACAAAAATACATAGCATGTACTACAAAAATGCAGTTGAGGTGATTTCTCATTTCCCTGAGAATAGTGACTTAGAGTGGAGTCGTAGAGAAAGGTGAGCAATGAATGTTAGAGACTCTCAACCTATTGGTCTTGTTAGGGATGTGTATAAATTGTTGCTTCAATGCTAGGTTGAAATTATGGAAGGTGATGAACTGTGCACCCTGGAGATTAGTCGGGTTTTGATCCGGATACCCCAGTGCCATTCAAAAAATAAAATAAAAAATTATGAAAGGTGATGACAAATTTATAGGGTGTCTTTTTTGAGAAATTTGTACACTCTATATTCATTTATTTAGTTTTGGTTGATAGGAATGTGCAATTCACTAGTAGCAGGTAAGGCAACCCACAAAAAATGTTGTAAGTAGAAAGAACAAGCATACTACCTACATAAAACCAGAGTCTTATTCCTTCAGAAAATTGGCAAAAGAATTGTTGCATATTGAGGATTTATGTATTACCCAAAATGTGGTCAGATAGACCTTTATATTCCTTAATTTGGGAAAACATGCAGCAAATGCCTTACTCTCTAAGCCCCCACACACACACAAAAAAAAAAAAAACCGAAGAAGAAAAAAAAGAAAAAAAGAAAAGAAAAGGATGAATTGGTCAAATCCAAAAAACCTTTAAAGAAATTAAAAGTTTGGAGACAAACATAATTTATGCCTAGAGAGGATGAATAGGTCAAATCCATACAAATAATGCCAATTAAAATTAAACCAGCATGTATATATATCCATCAACTAATCAAATTAACCACACAAATCGCATAAAAAAAGATATGAGTGCGCAATTTATGAGAAAACTCTTGCAGACAGCAATCTGTAATGTAAAACCACGGGCATCTCATCAGTCAAAGACAAAACATTAAATCAAGGGTTTAGAATAGGACTCAAGTAAAGCGAATTGCAACAAACTTGGATGCACTTTTAAACTTACATCTTGTTTTCAAAGAACACTTCTTTGTTTTTCACTCCACCCATAGATTCAACTTTTGTTGGCCCTCTCTTAAATATGGTTTGTTCTTTCATGAATTGCTCTGATCTTCGAAATGAGGCTCCAACCACACCAACAAGAATCAATCTCCACATAAACACCCCAATCTCTGCTAGACGAGGTTTCGATTGCTATCTACCACTGAATCAATGATATTGCAAGGATGCAGTGTGATTATGTAGGGTTTTGCAGAGCACAAAAAAGAGACTAGTTTTGAAAACAATATATCAAATCAGAACAACTTCTTTGAATTTTCTATGGTCAAGAACTTGCAATTAAGTAGAATTTTGAGCAGGCTAAGGTACCGAACCAGTCTCTATGCATATCTTAAAAAAACGTTAGGGTTGCCTGATTAATCCAAAAGCCACCCAAGCAGCCTTCAGACTTCTAGTAGACGTTTTTTGATAACCAACTTAGGGGCCACTTGTGTGTCCATTGGATGCCCTTCAAGTAGGGCTTTCATATTGTATGTTTCGGAATGCTTTCAAGCCATTAAGTACCAAATACTTAAAGAACTAAAATGCGGGAAAACCTAGATGAATTAAACCAAGAAAAAAATCTTGTAGACTAATGCAATGTCTTCAATAAAAAATATACCTTTAGCATGTGGAGCGAAGATTGCACAACCTCAAGATCTTCAATCAACGACTCATGGATGCAATGACAATGTTTTCCTAGACAACCTACCCTAAGTTTTGCCTATGAAAATTGTCAACATACATTTGGTAATGGAAACTAAAAAGACTCCCCTTCTGAAAAGTCATCCTTCCCCCTCGCTCAAAATAAGAGAGAGAAGAGAGAGAAAGATAAAAGAAAAGACGAGAAATATGGTATAAGCATAAATCATACAAAAGATAAAATCTATCATTTGTATTGCCTCTCATAACACCTTTTCAAGACTGGTTCATACCACCCCAATCCTCTCAATAGAAATATCTCTCTATGAGTTGTTTGTTTCATGTGACCATCATCTTGACTAGGGTATTATTGTGGGACCTATCTGGATCTTGTATAATACTAAAATTAGGATGGTCATATGCATGTGATCGGGTAGTTGGAAATCTTCTTGCTTTGGCTAGGGCTGCTAAGGAGCAGTGTGGTAGCAGCTTGAGCTCAACTTGACTCTGCACAATTAATTGAGTGAGCTCGAACTCGAAAAGAAGTGGAGTTGTAATACGAGTTTGTAACCTAAAATATGCACATCAAGAGAGAGAAGCAAAGGTTGTGGACAATAGAATAAAAGAATGTTTATGTTATTATTAAAACTCCATTATTCAAATACATAAATTTGTAATTTTGACAGAAAGCTAAACACCAAAAAATATAAAAAAGAATGAATCTGAAAAGTGCACGAGTACGATGACAGTATCAATTCAAGGTAAGAATAAGCCACTAAAGGAGCCAACCTGATTAACTGAACCCAAACCCTTTCTCGTTTTTTAAGGTGCTATTTCAGCTATACATTCAGGAGACTATGGTTAATAAAACATTATAATTTTATTTTTTACACTGTTGTGTTCCTGGACAACCAAATAAAAGATTAATACCTACAGTGCAAGAGATTATTTTCCCACCAAACCCTTCCATCAACATTCTCATAAGAAGAATCATAATGATATTTTATGCAATAGTGCAGAAGTTCTAATTATAGATAATCAGAAGAGCTCACTTTAACAAATGATATGGCAAGCCAACCAATACTATTCAGAATGGTTTGCTAGCCTGCTGCCATCAGTGACGGCAATTTAACAGGAGAGTGTCTTTTTGAGCAGATCTGTGACTGATGCAGACATAACCTGTGAAATGGCTGTGCCTTCACCCACCCCTTCTTTTGTCTTGCTTTTTTCATTCTTGTGTAACTACAACGTTAATGGACAAATACTTTATATGCATACACTATTAGTAGTACAACAAAAAATTATTAGGTGATCGATTTGGTTTATTTGCATGTAGTATGTCCTGTACGGAATCCACTTTTATTCATGTCATATGGTATTGACTATAGTATTTGATCAGGCTTGCTATGCTGTTCTCCAAAGTTGGGTTTCAAAGAAGTTCATGACTGGATGGTAATCAGCTTTAGCAATGATTAAGTGATTTTTTCTTTAATTTAATTTAGTTTAATTTTTTTATTGTAAACTTTGTTTTATACTGTGAAATGGCAGTGTGGTTCTCTTTCCTGTAGCTGTGACATTTCTTGTCACATGGTGGTTTATTCAGTTTGTTGATGGTTTCTTCAGTCCCATATATGAAAGGCTTGGCATTAATATATTTGGTAAGTCATTAAATCCATGTAAATTGTTCTTCATTTTATGATCTTTGCTGGGCCAACATACTTTTACGTCTTGTTCTCAACTAGAAATTGTGCGTCTAGTAGAATGACCTAAAAACAAAATGAATTGCTACACAAGTATGAGTACCAAAGAAAGTCTATGATGCAGGCATTCTTTAGAAGTTTTAATTTGTTTGAGTCGGTAAATTTACCTTCAATGGAAGGGTTGAGTAAGAGGCTAAGAAACATGATACGGATACGGGACATGAATGTGACACAATATGAGCACGTTGACATAACAATTTTCTATGGCAACTAATGAATATATGGTTTTATATGTGTACATGAAAATAATAACTATTATTATTTTTGGTTACAAATACTTTAAAATTATTGATCAAAATAGTAAGAATCTTTTCTTTTTTTTTTGTCTTTTTCGCATATTGGAAAAGAAGTGTAAACAAAAAGTCCTAGTATCTAATTTAGAAAGCTCTATTTATGCATTAATTGAAAGTTTGGGGCTTTATAATTCTTAAAATTAAGAAGTTTAAAGAATAAGAGATTAATGGTAAAAGTCAACATTTTTTTTTCCATTAGATTCCAAATTATTTCCTTCTATGTTACATGGACTTAGGTATAGGTGTTGGGGTGCGGGTATGTGTCCAAGTGTTAGATTCATCTAATTTTTTTGTTCAAGAACACAGGGATATGACAAATATTTATTTCTTAGTGATCTTATTTTATTTTAACCTCCCTTAAGGTTTGGAAAAAATTACATCAAGTTCCACAAGTTTGACATAATTACACTTTGTTCCCTTGATGTTTAAATTCACATAAAACTTTCCTCTCTTACTATCAGTCATCAGTTACTAGTTAGTCATATGAATGAAAATTATTCTGTCATCTCTTTTAAAATGAAATGTATATGTTACAATTGATTGTCCTTGTGTTTCCCTACCATCTGCTTTATTTCATTTGCTTCACTATTACTAAAAAGGAGGTTAGTGTAATTACGCTACGCTTGTGGGGCTTGTATTTTTTTCAAACCTCAAGCAAGGTCAGTGTAGTTTACGCTTTTATTTTAAAGGATAAAATGGGGTTTGCAAGGTGTCATGAAGAATTTCCAAGCATAATATTGGTGTTTTATGCATAGCTATATGGAAAACTCAAAACTATTAGACAAATTTGTTGGTTGAATGTCCAAATACACATGTCGGACACATATCTCATATCCTGATCAAAATATCAAGTGTCCAACATGGGTACTTTAGAAAAGTCCATGTAATACAGATTTTCTTTACACTTGTAATGTGTTTTATGTGTCTATAATTAATGGACACGTGTATACCTAAGTGTTCGAAGCGTGTTTGGTTCTAAAACTAATTAAAGAAAATAATAGGATACATTTGATGCGTGTCCAACTCAAAACGTGTTGGTCTTTGACACTGACACAACACTTACTTTGAAGTGTCCGTGCTTCTTTTGTCGGAGGACAAATATTACTAGGGTAAAACGGAAAAGGGTAACTGTAGGGTTAAACTTGAATTATGTAACACATGAATTTCTCATTAACTCGTCAGCATTATTATTTGAAGAGCTAGGTTCAAAGGTTCTATGTGAAAATTATGAAGCATAGTCTAGATCATGAATATGTAGCATGGGTTCTTTTGCTTTATATTTGTAACTAATTACATATTTTTGGTTGCACTCTCAACCATAATAGCTTAAAAAATTCAAATGGTCTATTATTAGATTTGAAATCAAATCAGCTAGGTTATGGTGTGGTGTTTGTTAAAATTTTAGGTCTGCTCTTTTGTCTATGTATCCTCACATAGGATATCATTGAGTGAAAGTTAGCACATGCCATCAGATAAGTTGCACTGCAGACCTTTTATGCGGTACCTTCCATTTGTGAAATAGATTGCTCTGTGTCCAAGGGCTTGGCTGTTACAACTGCTGCTGTTGATGTCGAGTTTTGTTTCTCTGTTTACTTAAGAGCATATATCCATGATATTCATCTAATCCTTCTTTAGTCAGTTTGAAGGTTTTCCTATTTTAAAGGCCCATTGGGTTCTGCACTATGGAATGCTATTTCTCTAAATGGTATTTCGAGTTAGACTACTGGGTACTCTGGTTTCTGAAATTCATTTGGGGGGACTCTAGACTTCTGATTGACTGATTGATCAATCTGACAATGTGAAGTGTTCAAATGTTTTGACTGAAAACTTGCAAGTTTGTTAATGGCTAGCAGTTGAATGCAGAGTATTCTGAAATAAATTAAAGAGGTTGGGATAATGCATTTTGGAATCTTCTGGACTATGTAATATGACTTTCCGATTTTCATAAGAAATGATTTGCTATCTACAGGGATGGTTTAGTCACTATATACTTTCATGGATTATTTATCATTTTAACCTTTCCATTTTTTTGATTCTTATAATCTTGCCTTTCCTGGTGCAGGCCTTGGATTTGTAACATCATTAGTTGTTGTATTCTTTATTGGTATATTTGCCTCATCATGGGTGGGTGGCACTGTTTTCTGGGTCGGTGAATGGTTTATAAAGCGAATGCCCTTGGTAAAACACATATACTCGGCCTCCAAGCAAATTAGTGCTGCTATTTCTCCAGGTAGTGTTTTCTGCCTTTGATTTCATAATCCAATGATTACCTAACACTTATATGTTTGATACAATTTAGGAAAGCCACATGCAGTTGCATGCAGGTCACTTACGGTATCCATTTTTCTACATTATAATCACTAATCAAGGTAGCAATAATGTCCTTATGTAAAGTGCTATCACAGGAGAAATAGATGGATTTCTGTTAAATTTACACCAACAATGTAAAATGGTGATGTTTTTTACCTGTTAATTTATGGTTGGTTTTTGTCAGCATCATTATTCATTTCTGTTCAACATGTTTGTGCTTATCACTTGTTTTTAGTTTTAAAATCAACATCCTCATCTTGGATATGTTCATTTCTGATTATTATTATTACTTAAATTAATTATTGATTTAAATATTGAGAGATGGTTTTTCATTAGTAAGGGGCAGGTCAATCTGGAACATTGAGAATGTCACAACATATAAATAAGGAGGTTCTGAAGAAACAGAGGGAAGTAAAGTGTTTTAAATATCTTGAATCATTTTTATTTATTTATTTTTAAATATTAGGATGTTGGGTTGTTTAGATGTTTGGTCTTGAAGTGATGGCATTACACTGGAAAAAGAAACTACTTGCCGTAGACTTAACTCCGCAGGGCCTTCCTCCACCCAAGGAATTGTGGGACCTTTTCTGGAGGCACCTGGAAAGTGGTTATGTTCTGGTATTGAAGGTCATCTTGTTTTAGTTCATCTTCAAACACAATTTCTGGGTCATCTGTCTGAGATCATTTGGATGGTATTTGGGTAGCAAAGGGGAGAAATTCAATTCTACTATATTAATATCAGTGAACTTGTGTTACTGATCGAAATCAAAGAAAATGAATGAACAAGTATTAAACAAATAAGTATCATCCAGAGATTGCTTAGTCAAAGGAGTCAACATAGGAACTCATGTTTGGATAGTTCTAAAAGGACGTCTCTCTTTAAATTTGTAATGTAGTTCAAATATTAAGAAATATATAAACACTGTCATGAGATTCATATCTGTATGTGTGTGTGTTTCACACTTTCAAGTCAAAATGAATTCTGAAACTTGTTCTTTTCTTACAGTTCCTAGATTTCAAGCATTGTTCCTGGCTAGGCATTACTTGTTTTAAACATTGAAAAAACTTTTCTGTATGCTAGTTGACTCAGTAATGGGTGCCCTCTTTTTTGTTACAGACCAAAATACCACAGCTTTTAAAGAGGTTGCAATCATCCGCCATCCTCGTATTGGTGAATATGCATTTGGTTTTATCACATCATCAGTTGTTCTTCAGGTATCTGAAATTTTATTCCTAGAACATTGTTTCAATTTATTGGCCATGTGAAGCATTTTTTTTTTTTTGGTTTGTGTGGGTGTGGGTGTGGGTGGGGTGTAGGGGGGGGTACATGTCAAGAGTTCTATAATTAGTCTCTCTTGCCATCTGATTATATAGGGTAAAAGAGAGTGATTTGGTCATCATTCTCTGAACTGGCGTTGTGCTAAGGTCATGGAGTCATTAATCTCCTTCTCTTGCATTGGCATGCTCTGGTGTTATGTTTCATGTTATCGTTGCTCTTTGTGATCTCTAGTTTGGTGCTAGAGGCATTCTGAAGTTGGTTACAGGTGTACAAGAAATGGGCAACCTACTGACTGCCTATTTTCTTATGTAGAGTCTGAGTGTATGATATTAGAAGGTCCTTTAAAGCATCTAGCTTGGCTTTACTAGTAAAAGATGTGTCCTGTTATTTAGTTATCAGTTAGATCATTCTTTCCTTCCAAATCCTTTTGTAGATTTCCTAGGATAGTTTGGGGGCTCGGTTTTTGTCTGTTCTGGTGCACAGTGCATGTTTTCTACCCCATTTTGGTAGTCTATGATGGATTCCTTGCTCATCCAATATTAACCCTAGACTCAAAATCTTTTGTTTAATTTGGTCCTTACATTCAAATTGGACATTAGAATTCACAACTTTTTAACACGCATCAATCATATGAGTATATAGAAAAAATTTACGGTAATTTGAACCTTAGTAGCAGGAATCGTCTCAGATGGTAACGACTCTGAGGAAGAAGCACAATTTTGCACTTCTGAGGAAGAATCGCAGCAAAATCGCGAATCTAAGGAGAGGGAAACACGAATCTGGTGCGAGAAGGAAACACTCTTGAGATGGCAAGGAGAGAACCCGGTCGCTGGCTTAAATCCTCTGTTCGATAACTTCAATCTCGTGCCCTTTGATTTCCCCTTCGAAGCCCTAGTCTTCGTCCCTCTCTTTGAAGCCCTAGGTTGTCGTCTCTCTCTCTTCTCTCACTCTCGATCTCCTCTTCGTCTCTGTTTGCTTCTCTCTCTCTTCGTCTGTTTGCTTCCCTTGCTTCTCTCTCGATCTATTTTGTTCTCTCTCTCCCTCTCCGTTTTCATATTTGACTTTGTTTTTTATAATATAATTTATCACATATATATAATATAATTTATTATAAACAATATAATTTTTATAATTATAATTTTTACCATATATAATAAAATATTTAATTATTATTTCTTAAAATATCATATATAATAATAATTTTTGTAAATTATTATTTCTTAACTTTTTAACATATAATAAATAAAATAAATCATCTAATTGTTTAAAAGAAATCTATTTAAATCATATATAATAAAAAAATTATAAAATAAAACATCTAATTTTTATTTTTTTATTTATTTTAACATTATTTATTATAATAAATAAAATATAATTAATAAAAATAATACATAAGCACTCCTAATCTACGACTCCTCTAAGTGGTCACGTTCCTCCGCTCCCGCTTTGTGCAACTAAGATTTGAACGGAAGGATTAAATTGGAACTAAACTTAAAGTCTAGGGTTAACATAGTCTAAATTGAAATAATAAGGACCAAAGTGAAATATGTGTCAAAATATAGTGGTGAAAAGTGATAATTAAACCAAGTAAGGAAGTATAATCCCCCCCCCCACCCCCAGGACTCTTTACTGTAGAAATGTGCTGCACTTGTCTCATTACGAAGATATCTGTTAATAATTAGCATTTGACATTGTTTTTGCTCGTCTTTGTTGTGATTGTCAATTGTTCAAATGCAGGGAAATAATGGGGATGAAGAATTATGCAGTGTTTATGTCCCAACAAATCATTTATACATTGGCGACATATTTCTTGTTAATTCCAGGGAGATCATAAGACCAAATTTGTCCATTGGAGAAGGCATAGGTCAGTTGCTGCTTAGCCTACACTTACTATGCTTGCCTATATGTCTGCTGTTGCCCAAGATGCCTTCTTTTAAAATGTTGTACCTTTGTCAGTTTAAAATTTGATGGTCTGCTAGATCAGCTACTTTATGATGCATTTGAGCCACATGAAAATTTTATTTTATACCAAGTTAGATGTATAATTCTTTATCGTGTTCTTGTGATATTTTATTGACATTTTCTTTCTCCTTTTTTTCCCCTGCTTGCAATCCAGAGATCATTGTTTCTGTGGGGATGACAATGCCTCAGATGATTGCTCCAATTGAAAGGATTCCTCGTCAGAATGATCAGATACCTCTAAACAGAATGATGTAAAGAGGAGACTTTGTTTAGCACGTGCAGTGAAATTTCTTTGATTTCGCATCCAGTTGATCACATTCTTGTAGATTTTGAAGACATACATTTGGAAAGAATGGTTGGTTGAAAGGGTGTAGTTAGTTGTGAGGCTTTGTGTAGTTCTAATATGGTTGAAGCATATTACTTATTTGGGGAATATAGTTCTCTCTCTTCAGCAACAACTTTATTTTAGTCACACTGCCTTATGTATGTTCATGTAATCACTTTTGTAGAAGGAAGTGCAGATATTGTAGAATCATATTCAATATTCAATGTTCTACTGCTCTCTCTCTCTGCGGAAAGTGCTTGTTCATCCGGTTTGAAACCAGTTGGTTCCCCAGTTTTAGAATTCTGGTGATTGCCATCGAATGGCATTTTTCAGATAAGCCAACTACTTCGTTCTTGGAATGGTTTTTCACAGGTAGATAAAACAGATGCTAAGATTCAGATCCCATCACTAATCAGGAGGGATACAGAAAAACTGGGTTATAGGCACACCAGACACTCAGAGCAACACCCAAGTGTTTCCTTTAAGGCATGTTTGATATCGTTTTTCATATTTTCAAAAACAAAAAAACATCACCCATCTTAAAAACAAAACAAAACCGAGAAACGTCAGAGAGTTCAAAAATAGCTATCGTTTCCATTTTTGTTCATAAACTATTTTTCAAAATTTTAAAGGCAGTTTTTTGTGTGTTCACTAAAAAGTGGGTTATCAAAAGAAATAATTTTTAGAAACAGTTCACGAGACAAGTTATACAGGTTGTATAGAAAACGAAGACAAAAACGAAAAAACCAAAATGTTTTAGCTACACATGGGATGCTTTGATACATGGTTAGTGGTCTTCAGGAACTGTCATCATGTATTGTTTTCTAAGACAAAATGAACTATTTTTGTATTGGGCAAATTACAAACACCCCCTCGAGATTTGGTAAAAATACAGATTTCCCCCTGAGATTTGAGAAATTACAAATTGTCCCCGAAGGATCAAATTTTCATAACAAATTAGGAGAAATTAGGGGGGAATCTGTATGAAAATAAAAACTTCAGGGGACAATTTGTTATGAAAATATAAACCTCAAGAGGCGGGATGTAATTTCTCAAACCTCAAGGGAAAATCTATATTTTCACCAAATCTCGAGGGGCTATTTGTAATTTGCCCTTTTTAGGTTTTAATTAATTTGTTTTCTCAAATTGAAAACAAACGGCTGGAGTATCTTAGATGGCTAGATCGTGCGGCTGTTTACGACAAGGTCAAAATTTCAAGCCCTTCCTCTAGCGTCTATCAAAATAATTTTTATTTTTTGACATTGGGTACAATAAAAAATAAGAGTCTAAAAGAAAAAATTTCTATAATCAACCGAAAACAAGTTTATTTTGGTTGAAAACGGAAGCAGATGTGGAATTTGCAACTTCCAGCATATATTTTGGATACATTTTGTGTAGGAAATGCCTCAATGATGCTCTCTAATGTTCCTACTTGAATAGCCAATTTGGCTTTGCAGTCTGAGTTTTGGCAAAAGGCCTAGCAGCTATGGTGTAATTAAGTTGACTATGTATATATGCTGCTTTTCTTTTCTAATGAAAGTCATAACTTCTAATAAAAATAAAAATAAAAATAAAAAACAAAACGACCAAAATATGTTAAATGAAAGTATTTTAGTATCAGATTGTTCCACATTAACAATTAATGATTCTTTTTTTTGGCAAAAAGAGAAATTAATTGATAGAGATAAAAATTACAAGAGTTAGCGTTCATACAAAATCAAACAACCCCAAAAGAAAATTACCCAAGTAGTAATACAAACAAAAGCTAAATAAAATTGCTAAGCTTCCACAGCTAAAAGCCTCTTCATCCATTATCAAAAGGGAAGTAAGTATTGCTTTCCGTATGATTTCTTGAAAAAACAGCAAAACTAGCCAAACGGAGGAGTTTGCAAGATCAACCAGCTACTATCTAGCAAGATAATGCAGATATTAAAAGAGCGAACTAAAATGCAGAAATCAAAAAACGAAGGGGCTGCAATAGCTTGCAATTCTTTACTATTCTCCAGCTGTTGAAAGAAAGATTGAGAGTTAATAGTGATATTAACATTTACAAAAGACTGCTCTTGGGCCCATTTGAGTCTCATGTTGTTACCTATTCTCCCTTGTAATTATTCATATACATTCCAGTGTGTTCCGAGGTGTCATTTTGTATCTTTGGGTGTTGGAGTGAATTCGGGAATAGTGGGAATGCTTTAAGGTTGTTTTGTCTCACTTTTAAGTTGAGACCGCTCGAGCGGTTCTTTTGTCGCTCAAGCGGTAACGTCGACCTTCCAGTATCTCATTTTGCAGTTTGAATTTCTACGAGTTTGTATTCTTCACTCGAGCGAAGGTTTCGTTGCTCGGGTAGTCTTTTGCAGGGAGGAGGGAGATTCTAGGAGTTTGAATTGTTCACTCGAGCACAGGTTTGATTGCTCAAGCAGTTTGTCCGCAGTCTGCTTCGAAAAATGTGTCCAATCACTTAAAAGTTGGACCCTTACACCATTTTCTTTCACTCTTCACTCTCTCTCTCTCTACATTTCACTTTTCTTCTTTTCTCTCATCTCTCTCTAGAAACCCTTCCACCTATGGCGATCCCAGTTTTGACCCAACTCTTGTGGTATTCTGGACTCGGGTTTAATGCTCTCATATTGTTGTTTACCTTTTTCCTCCATTGTATCTCTTTGAAATCGGCCTTTGGGTTGTTGTGGTTGTGTTTGGAACAGGTTGGTTGATTGTTTTTCCCAAACCTTGTTGTCTAGATTTTTGGTCATCCGCTCGAACAGCCATTCTTGCACTCGAGCAGGCTCTGTATATTTTGGTCCTCCACTCGAGCGGCCTTTCTTGCACTCGAGTGGGATGTGCAAACTCTCAATACTTTACACGTCTGCAAAAGTACTGTAGGGATGTTTTTTACACTCGTGCAGTATTTCCTACGCTCGAGCGGCCTTTCTTTCGCTCGAACGGGTTGTCTGTTGTTTGCATAAAATATTGGATGTGTGTATTCTGCGCTCAAGCGGGCCACTTTTGTGCTCAAGCAGAACCAAACTTTGTATCTGACACTGGAGCATCAACTCTCCCGCTTGAGTAGACTGCGCATATATCAAATCGCGAAAAGCACTTTTTACATTACTTTTTCAGATCTATTTGCTCCAAAATCCTAAAGTGAGACCTTCTCTCTCCCTCTCTCTACATTTTCATCTAGTTCTACTAATTTCCTCACCCTAATCTCTTTGTTAAAAAGATAGGCCATCTCAAGATCTACATTTTGAACTGAATAAAGTTGGGTTTGAACGTCTTTGGAGTTCCACCTTTGCTTTGCTCATCTTCTCTTCTTGAGGTAGGGATTTTCTACACTTTGTTATGGGTTTTAACTTAGTTATTTGTGATTGTGTAACAATGGTGGTATTTGGGAGTAAATTGAGGAAACCTAGGGTTTGGGTGAAATGTAAAATAGGGGTTTTTGGTGAAAATGAAACAAATGAACATGGGGTTTGAAAATGAAGTCTTGTTGTGTCAAAATGGGTGATTTTGGTACTTGGGTCAATATTTTGAAAAGGGGGATTTTTTCCCTAAAAGGACTATCATACTTATTTTCTATAAATAGTTGAAATTGGTGTTGTAAACATGGAATTGAGTGAGTATTGGAATTGATGGTGGAATTGAATATGAAATGCTTCACATCCTTGGAAATTTTGATTAAATTATTTGCTTTGAGATTGCATATCTATTTAGAAATATCTATATTGGACTATCGGTAGAGAATAGTTTTGATTGTTGTAGAAATTACTTGTGGATTAGGTAAATTGAAACTAGTCCATGGTTAATTATCATTGAATATGATCACGTTGTGAATATATTGTATATGTATGATTATTTGGGAGGAGAAAGAGGATGTACTCCATATGTGTGATTATGTGCCTAAATATATTGCATATGTATGATTGTTTGGGAGGAGAAAGGGGATGGACTCCATTATAATTAAGTTGACCAAAGTGTCTTGGGTGAAAGTCCCGAAATTTATACATAGGTGCCAATCCCGCAGATGAAATATCCGTAAAATGGTAGTTGAAAGTGTTTGTGTGTTAATTGTGAAATTGGTGAACCTTTGAGTTGTAGTCACATTTGGATTATTGAGAAATGATGAAATTGGCTCATGTATTTAAATGAATTGATGGAAAATGAAATGGAATATGAATTTGATGTTTTTACGAATATATATATAAGATTGTAAATGTTTTACCCTCAACATTGTATATGCACATTGCACTTATATCTTTGTTAAATTTCACATATTGTGTTAGATTATTCCCATTGGGTTGTGACTCACCCATTTTGGGAAAAATATTTTCAGGAAATGATGGTATACCTCCGCTAAGGCAACAACATTGGAGAAATTTTTGGGAAGCAAGAGCTTTTTATTTTGTTATATTTTTTGTATAGCCTAGAGCTAAATTTGTATGAGCTAGTCTCCTTTGTTGTAACCAAGCCAAGACTTAGAAATGTGTAAGGGCATTTATTTATGTTAAACTCTTTTGTATTATCATCTTCATATAATGAGAAGACTTTACACTCTGATCGATGTAATTGTTAGTTATGCTTTGGATCATATTTACTGTATTATTTTGGGGGCATTACACCACCCACCTCATTTATTTCTTTGATCTACCCAAATCCATTGGGTTTTTGACCCTAGTGCCTTCATTATTATTGGAGAGCTTATCAAGAGCAATATTATGTGCGGTGGAGATCACATTTCGACGCCGTTGATTTTAAAGTCTTTCTCACATTTTCATCCCAAATCTTGAGATATGGAATTCTATGAGTTATATATATGATTTTAGTATGTCTAGTCTATTTTTTCCATGGCTTTGAATGTAGGGTTTGGGTTTTGTAGTGTGGGTTTCGAAAATGTTGAAGAAAATTACTTTCTTGTGAGAATGTTCAAATTAAAAATGTTTTATGAACTTGTAAAACTCTTGGAAGTACCTTGTGAGGAAATTCTATGAAGAATGAAAGAAAAATCTTTTTGGATCAGACCCTAGTTTTGACGAAATTTGGGAAAAAGTGGATTTTGTGAGATATCCATGAAATTGTTGTTAAATTCCTCATGAAATTGATAGAAACCTCCTTATGTTGATTGTGTAGTTGAGATATCCATGGGATGGAAAAATGTTGTTGAAAAATGTTGATATTCTTGAAATAGTTGGACTATGAAATGAATATTGATTGTGAACATGAAATGACATAAATGTCACATGGGTTTGTATTTTGTCATGATTTGGAGAACTATTGAACAATAGAAGTTCACTTTGAATAAGTGTTCAGAATCATGAAAACATTGCACAAATGAGATACATATATGTAATTACCTTGCATTTCACTCGTTTGTATCGTTTTGAATATTGTTCATTTACTGCTATGGCTTGGAAATTAATTCATTTTTTGAGAAAACAACTGTTGGAATTGAATTGTTTTGGGATAAATACGTTTGGTAAGTCCGAATAGGGGGGTGTAGTTGGTATTGTTCAAGTTGGGCTTGAGTATCTAGGGTGAAAAACCGCAAACACACGCGGATAAGGTACCACATGCCTTCCAGTTAGGAGCTGGAAAAGTAGGGGATTGGTAGTGCTTGTTATGTCTACTTGCAAACACCAGTCTAGAGATTACCTGAGTCGTATTTACCACTCCATTGTTATTATTTAAATTTCATGGAGAAAATGAACTTTTCGAAAGAAACATTACATGTGATTCCAAAGAAAATAGAAAATTTTGACATTTGAACATGACATGGCATTGCATTCATGCATATGAGACTGCTTAAATATATATACATTGTTAAGATATCTCTATTGGGCTTTGTGCTCACCCCTAGTTGATTTGTACATGAAAAGATGTGGTGATTCTACCTATTTGAAGGTGTGGAACGTCTTGAGAGCAAGAGGCTCTCTTCCTTTTTTGATCTTATGGCAAGCCAAGAGCTTAGTGTGTATGGGTTTGACAACCTTTTGTGTAACCAAGCTTAAGCCTTGAAACTTGTAGGCCTTGGGCATTTACTTTGTTGTTATTTCTTTTACTTTTATATTGTTACACATGCTATGGATTCATCCTTTTAGGAGATTGAATATTTATTGCACATGAACACTTTTGTATGTCTCTCTTATGAATGAAATACATATTGAGAGAATTGATTAATCATAGTAGGATTTGTTTACTGGATGGAATCATCATATCTATTTTATGTCTATTATTTGGGGGCGTCACAATAATTCTTCTCTATGTAGAGGTTTTCTCCTCCTTGCATAGAGTTTATTTTTCTTACTATGTGGAGATTCATATCCTCTCTGCGTGGAGGGTCTCTTTATCCCTTTAGGAATCTGTTTTGTACTTTGATGTATTTTAATTGATGACTTATTGTCAGATGTGCAATATTTTAAACCTCATGTTTCCTCCCTCCCCTCCCTCCCAAAAAAAAAAAAACATAAGGTTTATGAGAACACTGACCTCTATCACTATCTACACACTTCAAAACCCTTAATACCTACACATCCTTAAAACCTTCAAAACACTCTAGCAGCTAGTCTTTCAGCGGTTTCTAGCGGGCGACAACTCTTCGACAGTACACACTTTTTTGACAATTGTAATAAATGAAAGCTTTTCTACAAAGCGGCTTCTAGCGGGCGACAACTCTTCGACACTACACACTTTTTTGACAATTGTAATAAATGAAATCTTTTTTACAATTCCAATACCATGAGATGAATAGACCATCACAATGTAAGCTCATAGGAGGTTCAAAGTTTAGATGATGCTCGTAGCTTGAAGGAGTTAACCTTATAATGATAAGTTTTTAAATATATATATATATATATATTAAATAGTGAACATGGTTCCACTTATTTTTAGTATTAAACTCCCGAATATATGCCAAAAATATGTCAACACAAGGCCGAATTAAAGGTATTGGTTCGGCAATGTCTAACTAAACATTATTCATATGTTCGGCACTTTGGATTCGAACGTTTTTATTCATATGTTGAACAATTTGGATGTGACCTTAATGCATACTTTTGTTTTGATTATGCGACGAACTTTAAATTTATTTGTTAATTAAACTAGTTGATGTATACTATATTTGTTTGTAAAACTTTGATGGGTTAAACTTGTTCACAGGCACATAACTTTTCATTTTTATAATGTTCGGTAACTCAAGTCCAAAAATGTATAAATTGTTCGGTAACGCAGGTCCAGACATGGATAATTTGTTTGGCAACACAGGTCCAAACATGAGCAATTTGTTTAGCAACATAGGTTCAAACATGGCGGTGGAGGAATTGACGGCGGCGAAAGGTCAACGATGAGAGATTAGCTGTGACAAAAATCGACAGCGCAGCTCGATCGACAGTGAGAGGAGGATTGGTGAGTTCAACTATTAAGAATTCTCTAACAAATATTTAACAAATGACTAGGATAACGAGGACCGTAATATTTGTGTTCTAAAGAATTCTCTAACAAATACTGATGATTTATAAGTTTGGACTGTTGTAACCAATGGATCTTGGAAAGCTCACGATTGTAGTGCTGGTGTGGCCTGGATTTGCTATAATGAAGAACAAGTTAAAGTAGTGCAAAATGCATTTCTCTAAACATTCCGATAACCTCCTTCCATCGGCCAAAATTACATAGGCCTTTTTTTGGGTAACTAAAATTACATAGGCCATGAATCAAATATGTTTAAGTGACAACATTTTGACAAATGCTTTATTCTTTCATCTTAGAAAAGAGTTTGAGAACATCGTCCACCATTCTATCCTTGCAAAGATTATCAATAATCATGGTATACACTACGATATCATATTTACAACTTCCCTTTCACATTATCCGAAGGAGAGTAGTTGCCCTGCTAGTGTATTAACAACAGTTCCATGCAAAGTCACGTTGGGTTCAATTTCTCTCATTCTCATTAATTTCCTAAATAATTCCACAACTTCAGGAGTATTATCTCCCAAAATAAGTCCATTGATGAGAGTTGTGAAGGTAAGGTAATTGCCTTAGGCATAAAACCACATTTAAAGAGGGAACCAAAAAGAGAACGTAAAATGGACTCGATTAAGGCAGAGTAACAATTGAAAGTGAAGAGATCGACCCCTAAAAAATGCAACTTGCCAATAATAAGAGAAACAGTGAAGCCATAATGATCATACCTATATTTTACCTAATTTCATACACTTTTTCCCTTTCCCTTTCCCTTTTCCTTTCCAAATCCCTCCTCAAATCCCCCAACCAAACACAACATAAAGCTTTGTTGAAGTGAGAAATGAAAGGGAAGAGCATGCAATTGAAGAAATGAACAGCATCATGGAGTCGTTTATTGGGTATTATAGAAGAAGCAAGAGGAGAAATGGGGCTAGTAGAGAGAGAAGGAAGCAAAAGAAATATGGATGGAGGATTCCAACATACTAGGTGGGTGTGTGCCGATCCTATAACAAGGAGATACACAATCAATTTGTCTAAAATGTAAAAGAAAAAGTCAAAAAAAAAAAAAAAAACTAATTACCCAACCCCATACACTTGCAAGAACAGACCACGTAAAACATACGTCAGGCCTAAACCTACAAGATAATTTATGCATAAGAAAAGTACAATAACGTTGAACACATCACCACCTAATATTAACACGAACCTCCACCTAAAGTTGAACTTCACCACCGGCCTAAACACCAAACCGACCAACTGACAAAAACAAACACTACATTTAGCAAACATATATATATATATATATATCCATAGCTCTGGCACAGGGCCATGCAATGCAATTCTTTGTTCAAAACTCAACAAGCCCACTCACAACCGAGGTTCGGTCCTGGATGCCCAGCCCAGACCACAAGCTAAAGCAAAATTTAGAAGGCGCTGCACTGCAGAAGGGCAAGTAAACATCAGTGACCCATCTATAACCTAGCAAAAATGGTCCACACAGCACACAAACATGTGTATCACAGAGAGAGAGAGAGTGAGTCATAACCCATCCACAGGTAACCAGGACAAAGAGGGAGGGAGGGAAGAATAGAGTGAAGAAAAAGAGAAACTAGGAGAACAAAAGGTTGAGATATAACAAGCAAAGAACTGTGAATACTTCACAAATTCATTGATTGAACAAGCTAATGTTGGATTTACGAAGAGAATACATGTAATTTAACCGACACTACAACATACATACAACAATGACACTGCATTGGATCTCTCAATGACAAGAAGATACTCCCTCTCCCCCCTCCACCTCTAAAAATCTACCGTATCTGCAAACAACAGATTCCCTTAGACATCAAAAGCAAACTTGGGACTGAATGGTACAAAGCACATAAAGACGAGAAGAGTCCAAGATTAAGTACAAAACCAAAGAGCATTCCACCAATACAAAAGCAATAAAACCAGGTTACAAGAAAATGCAATATTAAAAACGATCACAACTGGAACATAAATAAAATTCCCTTTTTCCCCACTTGTTACTCGTTACTTCCCTTTTTTTTCTGATACGAGGGTCCGCCCTAAATGGTCTGCAATTGGGAAAAGGAGATCCGGATCATTGAACCGTCAAGTGAGCTGGCATGTTTGCACACAAGGGCTTCAGTGGCCTGCTCTTCATTTTCGAATAGGACAAGGGCCTGCTTTTTACCATTCATCTCAAAGAGCTTGGTATTGACAATGGTGCCATGCTCTTCTAGGTGGGCCACAATCTCCTCCTCGGTGACATCTTGGGGGAGGGTGGACAGGTGGATCATTTTGGTTGGGGAGCAGCAGTAACGATAATTCTTTGCGGCATTGCGGTTGAAGCGATTGAGATTTGAGTTTGAGTACTCATGTGTATCCACACCAGTTGTAATGTTTGGATGCTTTGAAAAGTTTACCTCCAATCGTTTGCCAAACAGCATGGCTCCCTATCAAAGAATTTAGATTAATTTTATTACCGTCCAATGAAAAGGAAAGTTCCACAAAAGTATTTCAAGTTCAAATTATCGAATAACAGGTCAACTCCGCTCAATAAAGCCTATCACAGTAAATAAGCAATCAAGCACACTTAGATCTTAAAGAATATTGTTTGATCAACAAATAACACCCACAATTCTTCAAGTCTAGTGTGTTCAAACACAAACCAACATAATGAAACAAGCCTGAGCTAGTCAATAACACAAGCCAAATTCTAACATACCATCACAGTCTAGTTACAAAACTGAATTATATCCCACAAAATCAAGCATCATGACTGCAACTATAAACTAGGAGGGAAACTGAAAAAAAAAATATTAAATGAATATTAAGAGGAGCCAAACCTTCAAGAAGTGTACTGCTAATTCAGCCTGGAAGCCATCACCCATCTGAACTAGCGCATGATCTGGTTTATTGCGGAGAAGTTTAATTCTTACAATGTTTCCATAAATGGAGAACAGATTGAAAAGTTTATCCTCGTCTATGCTCTGAAATGAAAATTACAAAAGATTAAATAAAATAATTAATATGTTACCAACATTAACGGTGGGGCAGAACCAAACCATTGAGATCAGAGAATAGGCTGCGCCCATTGAATGCAAAAAGAAAAGGAAAAGGAGAAGTCTGTGGAGAGAGAGAGAGAGAGAGCTTACATCAGGATTTAGGTTAGATACAAGAACAGTGCACCTGTCATTTGTCCCGCTTATTCCAGGAGGCAAGCCTCCTCCAAAAGCAGCTGCAATGGCAGCAGCAGAATTGCCCATCTACATGAGGAACAAAATAAAATCAAGTTACATGACACATCCAATGAACAAGATAAAAGCTAACGATTATTTGAAGTTAATTATGATTGATTAAGACAAAAATAGAAAATCCAAAGCAGAAAAGGGGGGAGGGGGGGGGGAATGGAAGAACGTAAAAAATACGCCAGCGAAGAGGCGAGTCCTCGGGGACCTCAAGCCTTTTTAGAAGAGAGATCCAACCAAGGGTGAAACCCCTGTTGCATGCCTACTTCACCTGCCTTTCGTAGGCCTCCGTGACATCGGCCATACCCTGAGCATATGCCTTGTCATCGTCATCCTTGATTTTGGCTTCTTTCATGGCCAAGGCCTCTTGAAGCTCTTTTTGGGCCTGATCCGTCTTTTCCTCGGTCTCTCTTTTTTGGGCCTCAGAAACCTTCCTGATGGCCTCGGCAGATTCAGCCTTTTCTTCAGCATCGGTTTGGGCTTTGATTGCAGCCTCAGCTTGGCCCTC